CTGGAGAATTTCATGGACGGAGGAGTCTGGGGGGCTACAGTCCATGGGGTTGCAGGGTCTGACATGACTGAGCGACTGACACTTTCACTTTCATACACACATATATATACATGATACCTAGATGATAGATACATAGATGGATAAACAGTGAGAGGATTAAAGAGTGAGAGAAAACCAAAGACAGTATCTTTTTTTAATATTGGCTCTTGCATTCCCGGCATTTGTTAAGTATGAAATTCATAGGGCAGGCTGAAAATTTGGGTAAGAATGTTGCATTCTTGTGCCCGAATTCTGCAGGACAGCAGGTTGGAAAGTCAGGCAGAGTTTCTAAATTTCACCCTTCTCCTTCAAGAAACCTCTGTTTTGTTAAGTATTTTTATTTATTTGTTTAGGCCATACTGTATGGCTTGTGGGATCTTAGTTCCCTGACCAGGGATTGAACCTGCGCCCCTCGCATTGGAAGCATGGAGTCTTAACCACTGGGCCACCAAGGAAGTCCCTCTCTACAATTATTTCAAACCTTCGTGGATAAACCATGATACCTCACATGGGCCTGTGAATTTTGTAATATATTTTAAAATCAAATTGTTTATATAGATAGAGGGCACGCCCCGCCTGCACACATGCCCTAAGAACAACTCTGTTTCAAAGGCTCAGTCAGGCATTTAATGGGGCTGAGCAAGAAGGATCCAGACCCAAGGACCCAAGGACCTGACAGCCCTGTGTACCTAACGTCCAGTGTACCTGACTGTCATAAGAAAAATGTCCACCACACTGAGGGGACTGGACTCTGTGCTGAGTGCTTGTCAAATACTCCTTACCACAATCACATGACAGGAGAGACCAACACTCCCATCTTAGAGCTGAGGAAACAGCCTCAGAGAGGGTCAGTGATTTTCTTCCAAACTAGATATCTCAGACCTTAAGCTTAGGTTCTTTTTTTTTTTTAACTTAATTTTTTTGATCTGTGGCATGTGGGATCTTAGTTCCCCAACCAGGGATTGAACCTGTGACCCTGCAGTGGAAGAGTGGAGTCTTTACCACTAGACCACCAAGGAAGTCCCAAGGTTCTTTTTTTTAAATTTATATTTTACTGAAGTATAGTTGATCTATAATTTTTTATTTTATTTATTCTATTGAAGTATAGTTGATTTACACTTTAAAATATTTATTTTATTGAAGTATAATTGATTTATAATGTTGTGAAATTTAAGTTCTTAGCAACCACATGGTATTGACTGTATGTATCTTCTTGATTGCAGCCTGAGAGCCCGGCACGCAGTAAGAATTCATTAAATGATTTTTGTGTGAATGAACTGAATGAATGAATGAATGAGTCTATAGTATTTATAGAAGACTATAGAGGGTGTGGGCTTCCCTGGTGGCTCAGAGGTTAAAGCGTCTGCCTGCAATGTGGGAGACCTGCGTTCAATCCCTCGGTCGGGAAGATCCCCTAAAGAAGGAAATGGCAACCCACTCCAGTATTCTTGCCTGGGGAATCCCATGGACGGAGGAGCCTGGTGGGCTACAGTCCACAGGGTCACAAAGAGTCAGACACGACTGAGTGATTTCACTTCACTTATAGAGGGTGTGAGAGGTGGGCTCAGTGAATCAATCTTGGGTTGAGATCGGGCTTGCGGGAATGAGTGTCCACCCATTATCATTACCAAATAGGTTCCGGGGATCAGCATGGGAGTAACCAGTTTTAGAAACACTCAATCTGGTGTCATGTAATGCACTCATTATGCAGCTTCAGGCTTGCACCTTCTCTTGAGGGCCTCAGTCTCCTGCTCCCAGTGGGAGATTGGGTCTGGATCAGGAGGCAGTAAACATATTCTGTGAAGGACTGAGAGTAAACATTGGCTTTGTCTAAAGAGTAATTTGAGTCTCTGCCACAACTACACAACCCTCCCACTGTAGTGAGAAAGTAGCTTCAGACAATACATAGATGCGTGTGTGTCTGTGTTCCAATAAAAAGTCATTTAGAAAAATAAGCAGCTGTCTGGATTTAGTCTCTAGGCTACAGCTTGCTGAGCACTGGTCTATATGACCTTTGAATCCCTTTTAATCTTAACAGTCCATGATATATATATATATATATATGCCACTCTGTATGGTTTCCAGAATCTTATTTCCCCAAACTGTAAGCAAACCCTCAGTCCCTGCAGCGAGAGCACGGAGTCCTAACCACCAAACCACCAGGGAATTCCCAACAGTCTATGATTTAAACACTTAGAACCACACGTACAAAGGACAGAAATGATCAGACAATGTTGTAACCCTCACATAGTGTCCATGGCAGACATTGCTAATTGATCACAGAACTCTTCTGATGAGAAAGGAGTTGGCTTTTTATAATCAATCACAGAGAACTCTAGCCGGAGCATCCCCTCTTTCACTCTTTCTCTCTCATTCTGGCCATGCTGTGCAGCTTATGAGTCTTAATTCCCTGACCATTGTACTAGAAGCTCAGTTTCTTAACCCCTGGACCACCAGGGAAGTGCCTCTCTTTCACACTTTATGAGGCAAATATTTAGAAAACTGCAGATACTCTCTTGAAGTGTGACACTGAGTTAAAAAGGAAGAAACAGAATGGGAAGTCTGGCCAATTCTGTCCTTCTTGTCCCAGAGTAAGAAGAATCAAATCGTCCCCAGGGTGGTTTAAGTGAGAACCTGAGCCCTGAACCTAAGCCGGGCTGTTTGACCCGACCGTGGTATTACCCACCAATGGAAGTCAGATGCTCCATCTCTCACTTGCCCTACTGAGTGCACCAGCTAGGAGTGAAAGCCCCCACATAGTAGCTCTCTGGTGCATTTTTACGTTCTTTTTTCTTTTCCCATCATTTTCCTTTAAACTGCACTGGGTCTTCATCCCCTGCATTAAAAGGTGGATTTTTAACCACTGGACCACCAGGGAAGTCCCCCACCAAAATTTAAATCATCGAGTGACTTCTGCATAGAGGGATCAACTGCCTGTCTAGTCAGAGGATATTTTACAAATTAGTTCATGTGGAGCTTGGCAATGCAAGACTCCTGTGTCTATTTGAATTTCCACAAACTGTTACTTTGAAGAGTGAAAGGGGAACTTCCAAGCATCAAGAGGTTACATGATAATGAGGCGAGAGTTTGGGTTTTGCAGTGAGACAAATTTGGCTTGGGTTCTAGACATAATGATCACACCCTTGATAATTAGAAGTCATCTATTCAGGCCTTCCCTGGTGGCTCCGTGCTAAAGAATCCGCCTAAAATGCAGGAGACATGGGTTCAATCCCTGATCTGGGAAGATCACACATGCAACAGAGCAACTAAGCCCACACACCACAGCTACCTAGCCTGTGCTCCAGAGCCCAGGAGCCACAACTGCTGAGCCCGTGTGCCGCAACTACTGAAGGCTGTTCACCCCAGAGCTGGTGCTCCGCAACAAGAGAACTCATTGCAATGAGAAGCCCATGCAACACAGACAGTAGCACCTGCTTGCTGCAACTAGAGAAAAGCCCATGCGGCAGCGAAGACCCAGCACAACCAAAAATGAATAAATAAACCTGTCTAAAACAATTTTTTAAAGAAGCAATCTATTCAGAAAGGGTAGCACACAGAATAGGTTTTGCCGGTTGAAGCCATCATTTTTTGTTGTGGCATGAAATTTGTAGGGGATTTGGGGGTAGGAAGTGTTCCTCTAACATCTCAAATTATGCACTATAACTAAGTGTTGATTATAGTGACTGGTGAGCTGCTTCGGCCCTTTAGCTCAGATTGAGTTCTGTTCAGTCATAAGGGAAACAATTCATTTATTCTTTTCAGAGTCCTTCCACACCCATAACCTCACAACTCTCTGAGAAGCCTGATTTGTTAGAATCATCCCATTTCACAGTCAGGAAAACTGAGCTCCAAAGAGATTTGTTAGAAGCAGAGCTCTTTCTTCTTTATCTTTCATGTGACAACTGTTTATGAGCACCTTCCATGTCCAGACATGGAATAGGCATTGAAGACATAATTGTATAAATATTGGGCTGGGGCGGGGGCGGCGTGGAGATCATTATCTGTTAGCTGAAGGATTTGTTGTGACCCACCTGGGTTCTTGGAATCTTTTAATCGATGGAAATCGATAAGAGGTCAGACAAGATTTCTTAACTCAGGTAAGGCATTACTGGGACACCAGGGAGCAAAACCAAGTAACAGTTTCCCTTGCTCACTTGCTTGGGGGGCTGGCCAGTGGTCCTTTATGTGGAGTGAGGGTGGGGGTGAGTCCAGGGGGCTGGAGGGGTGGCTTGAGTGGTCTGCCTGCCTCCTTGGTGGTGCTGTGTGCCGACTGCATGTGTAGTATACCCTGTTTGTGCTCCCACATCTCAGAAGTGGCAGTTGGGTTTTTGAACTTTTTGTATCTTGTTGTTCATAATTTGCCCCAACTGCCCATGCGTGCAATTATTTTCAGTCCCTTATAGATTCTTTGTATTCTGTTGCTCAGGAGCCGTTAGTCCAGGTACAAGCACTGAGAAACGGGTCCCAGTTCCCAGATCCCAGCTTGTCTCAATGTTATCTGAAATTTGAGAAAGAAACTGCATTGAGCAATCAGTAAAGAGTTTCACAATTTCTTGGGAGTCCAGGAGTGGGAGAACTAGGGTGCATTTCCCAACATCTTAGCTGAGAATCCAGGACTAAATAGCATCCTTGCAGTTGACCTTTTAACCACATCTCCACTAACAAGGCTAAGGGACCTGGGGCCCCCACAATGTTCAGAGTTCAGATGGACACCTGAGAGTTTCCTCATAAGCCTGCCGACATCTCCCAGGCCAGCCTCTCCTCTGTTTCTTCCCTGGAAGTTATTCCGGTGGCCTTGAAGTCTTGCCCGGTATAGGAATGAGCCACTGTCTCTCTGGTATCAAGCTTCCTGTTTATGCCATGGAAGCGGGGAGGGGCCAAGGAAATGCTGGTGAGGCCACACCCACTAGTGAAGGTATAAATTGGGAGGTCTGGCCGTCAGCATCGCCCCTGCCCTCACCATGAAGGTCAGTGGCCTCTTTCCCTTCGTGCTTCTTGCCCTGGGAACCCTGGCACTTTGGGCTGTGGAAGGTGCTGAAAATGGTGAGTTGGAGATACCCTGGTACCATCTTGGCTGCAACGTCAGAGGTGGTGTGGGGATGTCCACTTCTCTAGACTGTGAACTCAGCTTAGCTTCAGGAGATGTCCCTGGGAGTGTGTTCATGTCCACCTGGGCTGCAGGGTCTCTGTGCGGGCTTCTGAGCATCTGAAAATTCTTCTTTTACTTTGCCATCTGTCAGCCCAGGTCTCACTCCATTCCTGTTCTTATTCCTCTCTCTCTCTCCCCCTTATTTCCCAGTCTCTGGTTCTCCAGTCATCAGTCTGACTCTTGCTGATTCTTTCCATTAATCTGTTTTCCTGCCTCTGGCTCTAGCTCTCCTGCACTGTCAGTTCCATTTATCTCTGTTTAGTTCCCTCCATCTCCATTCCCCTCAGCCTTGCTTACTCCATGTGTAGCCTTTGCTTTTGTCTGAAGCCAGAAACCTTGGCTGGGAGCCCTATGCCCTTCTCCTGACCATGGGTGTGATTTCATCAAGCTTGTCCAGACGGGGACTTCCCTTCGGAATTTGTGGACAGTCACCTGGGCGAGGGTCACTGCTGGAGAGTGGTGCTTTGAACAGGAGCTGTGAGGGCCTACACAACACCCAGCCTCCTCCCAAACTCTTATTCTCTTCAAAAGCTTTGAAAGCTGGGGCCTGCCCTCCTAGAAAACCTGCCCAGTGCTTTGGAGATGAGAAACCCAAGTGCAGTAGTGACTGGCAGTGTCCACACAAGAAGAAATGCTGCCTCGACACTTGCGGAACCAAATGTCTGGACCCTGTCAATGTCACACACCCAGGTGAGAAGGTGGAGGAGCTGGTGGGAAGGAGTGGAACGAAGGACACAGCCTTGGGGAGATGGGGGGCGGGTCCTGCCAGGCCTCCTCCTTGCCAAGAATTGTTGAGCCAAGTTTGTCAGGAAGTCATCCATCCCCAGACAGGAAGTTACCCACTTGGCTGGTAAAGCAGCCAGTCTGCCAAGAGGTCAGTTTTGCAGGTAAGATTCATCTGGTCATTCAGATAACCAGGCAGTGGGCAGCCACCCAACCTCTCAGCACTGGACAACTGGCCACCTGCGTTGACTGAGGGTTTAATGTCAGAGGAGAACCAGATCCTATGTTCAGGAGGTATTTCTGAGGGGGGATTCTCTCTGCTCAGGCTAGGGCAGGGGCTGGGGCCCAGAAGTAGCGGGGGTGATGTGGAAGGCCTAAGCCTTCTAATCCATGACTCTACTCCCTCCAGTTAAGAAGAAGCCTGGGACGTGTCCAATGGTCCATGGCCAATGTCTGATGTTAATCCCCCTCAATCACTGTGAGACAGACGACCAGTGTGTAGGCACATTAAAGTGCTGCAGGGCCATGTGTGGGAAAGTCTGCCTTTCCCCTGTGAAAGGTAAGGAGGGGTGGGGCAGGCTGACCTCCCTCCCTCCAACTTTCTCTGTCTCAACCCTCTGAAGTTCCCAGCATATGAACAGGGGACTCCTGATCCCAAGCCCAAGAAGAGTTTCTGCCAGACTCCGTGGTCTTCAAGAGCCCTCTCTCCCAGGGGCAAGAATTTCCACGGGATGGCTCATGGCTTTGATTCTATCCCAGCCCTTCTGAGTAAGGGCCCCGGGCAAGTAACTGAGTCTCAGCTTCCTTATATGTAAAATGGATATAATGCACTTGAAAGTGCATTGCCAAAAGTACTATGCACTCAGTATGTGTTATTAAGGTTATTTCCAGGATGTTGTTTAGGATAAAAGCCCAAGGGACCAGTGGATTTTGAGGATAATCCAGCTCAAGGCTCTGAGTTTTCTAGGAAAATAGAGGCTTGTACTCAGCCTCCTGATACCAAGACTCATTCAACTCTATCAGTACCTTGCTATTTTCTCTATCTCAAGGGATTTCTTGGGGGACAGAATGTGAAGACGACTCAGCTGGTTCCGATATTGAAGCCCTGATCTCATTTTCTCTCCCAGCCTGATTCCTGCCTTTTGGGAGAGTCTCTGGATTCCTATTCTGTGTGGTGTGGGAATTCCATTTCTACGCCCAGGCTTGGATCACTCCATGGTGAAGACTTGGTTCTAACACCAATATCTTCTTTGCAGAAGAAGCCAACAAATGCCTGTTGACTTGTCAATAAAGAAATGAGCATGTTTCTCTCTGTACATCCTGCTTCTGTGGTACATTGGGGAGGATGAGTTGGGTGGGTGCTGATGAGGAAATATCTGGATGAGAGGCTTCCCTCCTACAGATATGGAGTGGAAGAAAGAGGCTTAGGAGCTAGACAGGCATGACTTCACATCATAGTTCTGAAAAGATTCAACTCTGTGATTTGGGACAAACAACTTTATCTCTAACATCTTAATCTCTTAACTTGCAAATTGGTGATAAAAATCAGTTTCTCACAGTGTATAGAGCATTGGGATGTGCAATGCAAAATGAATAGCAATGTTACAGGGCCAGTGCAGGCTCTCAAAAAATGGTGTATACTTGCCTTCTGCAGTGATCTTGAGCCTCTTTCATTTCTTCTCTCTCCCAAGACATGGCTTCTTCTGTCTTAAAATAAGTGTTGATCAGAACGACATGAACTGATTGTCAGTCCTGCGGGAGGACTCCAAACACTTCTGTCTGTCCATTGTATTGGGTTGACCAAAACATTTTGTTCGCATCTTTCCATAACATCCTGCAAAAAAAAAAAAAAAAAACCATTTTTTTTTTTTTTTTTGCCAACCCAATATATTGGTATCAGAGTCTTCAAGGAAAGCAAAAACATAATCAAGCATTGGGTGAAACAATGCTTCAACCCCATAAGACACTTCCACAGTGGAGTTTGATCTCCCATGGCCAGGGAGTCTCTCCTGGCAGCTGATGCTGTTCAGTTTACCTACATGCACTCCTCTCATGTCATAGTAAAGGGACTCCACCCCATTCTTTCCCTGTTGAGGACAGATACAGCTGTGGGGTTGACCAGATCCCCAAGAGCACACACTGAGACAAAATGAAGGAACATGTGTTGAGGTTGAAACAAGGGAAGATATTTCTACACATGGCAGTAAGTCTGGCACAGGCTATGTGGACTCTATCTCTTGGTAAGCAAGTATCATATTTCAGGTCCAAGGTCCCTTCTTCTGCAGTGGGGGATGCATGCTTGAAACTGCCTTCCCGAACAATAGGAATATTGTCATGGTAGGTCACGTGGAGGATACATTCTTGGCCAGAAACACAGGAGGGTGATATTGCTCTCGACTCAGTGGAGCGGAAAGTAATAACAGCTGGAATTCCTAGAGCTAGGGCCAAGTGGGGAACTTTGCTACACGTTTTTCTGTTCTCTATGGACTCTAAAGTAAACAGAGAGCTTAATTAGATAATGGATTTTTTACAAAGATAAAACCAAATTGTAAGTCAATCCTCTCCTGAAAAATGTCACAGGCCGAAGAAAATAGTCCATACTATTTGAAACAATATGCTAAGAGCAACAACTGCATGTATTAAATTCACCATTTCAGAGATGAGGGAAAAGAAGAAGAGCCACTGAATTCATTTTATGAGCCATTCATTTCATGTTAATTTCATTTATTTTATTTTATTCATTTTAGCCACCCTCCAAGTTGACTTCCAATGATCCTCATCTCGGTATTCACACCCTAGTGTGGTCCCCTCCCACATTTTTGCACAGTTGGTTTGTGTGACAAATAAAGCATTGCAGAGTGATAGATCATTATGTCCTTATGAGATTAGATCATTAAAAGAGATTAGTTTCCATTTTGGGAGGCTGTGCTCTCCTCAATCATCTACTGAGGCAGAACTCGGCTGGCACGCCATGAGGACATTCATCCATCTGTGGAGTGGTCCCAAAGGAACTAATGCCTCTGGTCAACAGCCTCTGTGGAAACAAGGTCCGCTGTCATGTGAGCAACTTAGAAGTAGATTTTTTAGTCTCCATCTAGTCTTGTTTCAAACTGGCAAACAGTTTGATTATAACATGTGAGAGACCCCAGGCCAGAACGATCCGGCCAAGATGATCCTGGATGCTTTTTTCTGTTACCAAATATTTTATTGTTATCATCAGTTATCCACAACATTAAACAAGGTGGGAGATGACAATGCTGGTTCATGTTAATGTTGGTGGTGGGTTAACACTTCATCACTTACACATCATTTTTACATACTCAAAACCACTCAGTTTTATTAATTAACATATAATAAGTTTGCACAAAGTCTAAATAAAGCCTTCCAAAAATCCACTGTATAATCCTTGGTCAAAATATGAATTACAAGCATTCAGACTTTCTGTTCTTTTGATAATATGATCTGAGAAATGTGATTTTTATAGTTTACAAAACAGACAGTAATTATTTATGGTTTACAAAATGGATGAATATACCTTAATTATATGACCTTTCAGGGAAGATTTACACATCCTTTCCTTGGCTATCTATGAAGATTTCCTTATTTCAACCATGTCAGCATATATTCATGACTTTTATCTATTGCTTTCAAGAAGACACATGAGGATTTCAGTTCAGTTTAGTTCAGTTCAGTCGCTCAGTCGTGTTCGACTCTTTGCAAGCCCATGAATTGCAGCACGCCAGGCCTCCCTGTCCATCACAAACTCCCGGAGGATTTCAATAAACCTTAATTCTCAGACTGTGAGATGATGTTAATGGTTTTAAGATGCTGTTTTGGGACAATTTGTTATGTAGTCATAAATGACAAATTTGCTGAGGTTAGTAAAAATTTGATACTACAACCAAATACTCTGACCTGGAGAAGAAAAAATAATTATGTGCCAATTTTGTCTGCTCTGAACAAAGATGGAAACATCTTAAATAAAATGCTCAACAGAATTCATTAAATTTTAAACAGCTCTCCTAAAACTGAAATGTGAATTCTTCGATAAAATTAGGAATGGAAATGGGGATTCCCCTTGGCGGTCCAGTGGTTAAGACTCTGAGCTCCCAGCGCAAGGAGCGTAGGCTCAATCCCTGGTCCAGTAACTAAGATGCCACGTGCTGCACAGCACAGTCAAAATATTTTTTTTTTAAAGGAAATGAAAGGATAGAAATTAATCCAAAAAAGGAAAAAAAAAGACAAACTTTGTAGCAAAGCTTACATTAAGTTGAATTTTCAGAGGTATTGTCATTAAAGTCATAAATAGAATGAGTCACCACTACTTTTTAACAGTGTATGAGATATACAAAACTATGCAATGAGATAAAGGAATAAAATGTGTAAGAATGAGAGAAAGCTTATTGTTATTATTGGCAGACAGTATCATTTCCTACATAACAATTTAAGACTTTCAATATAATGGATGACATTTCGTTTCATTGGAATTGTGCAGTATAAAGTCTATACAAAATTCTATGGCATTTCTCCACATTACCCAAAACCAGTAGAAATAATAAAAGTAGACATAAATAATCCCAAGGAGCAAACCCTACAATATTCCTAGGAACAAATCTAAAAATTGTGTCAGAACATCATGGATTAAAAAGAAAAAAAAGAATTTTATAAAGGTTTAAAATAAGAACTGAATAAATGGAGAATTAATGTTTGTGTTTGGAAAGACTCAATAAGGTAAAGATTGCAACTCTTTAAAAACACATTTATAAATTCAATAAAACTGCAATAAAAACCCCAATATGGTCTTTAAAAACAACTTGGCAAAGTTATCCTACAGCTCATATATTAGTATAAAGTAACATTTTAAAAAAGTATAAGAATGTCGGCTAGCCAGACCACATATCAAAATATTATTACCCTTCCCTCGTGAACCTCCTGCCCACCTCCCACCCCACCCCACCCCTCTAGGTTGTCACAGACCACCACGTTTGAGTTCCCCACCTCCTTCAGCAAATTCCCACTGGCTATCTGTTTTACACACAGTATTGTATAGGTTTCAATGTTACTCTCTCAATTCCTCCCTCCTTCTCTTTCCCTCACTGTGTCCATAGCCTGTTGTTTATGCCTGTGTCTCCATTGCTGTCCTGCAAGTAGATTCATCAGTATCAATTTTTGCTTTTAAGTCCACACTGACAACTTTCACTGAGTTTAATAGTGATTTTTAACATAGAGTACTAGGCTTCTCGCTTCCCAGGTGGTTCAGTGGTAAAGAATCCACCTGGACAAAGGAGCCTGGAGGGTTACAGGACGTGGGGTTGCAAGAGAGTTGGACATGACTGCGCAACTGAACGACATTAGGGTTCTACCCTGAGGGAAATAGAACCGGTAGGACCAATAGGAGATATATATATATATATATATATATATATATATATATATATATCAGTTCTGTTCAGTCGCTCAGTCGTGTCTGACTCTTTGCGACCACATGAACCACAGCACGCCAAGCCTCCCTGTCCATCACCAACTCCCGGAATCCACCCAAACCCATGCCCATTGAGTCGGTGATGCCATCCAACCATCTCATCCTCTGTCGTCTCCTTCTCCTCCTGCCCTCAATCTTTCCCAGCATCAGGGTCTTTTCCAGTGAGTCAGCTCTTTGCATCAGATGGCCAAAGTATTGGCGTTTCAGCTTCAACATCAGTCCCTCCAATGATCATCCAGGACTGATCTCTTTTAGGATGAACTAGTTGTATCTCCTTGCAGTCCAACGGACTCTCAAGAGTCCTCTCCAACACCACAGTTCAAAAGCATCAATTCTTCGGCACTCCACTTTCTTCACAGTCCAACTCTCACATCCATACATGACCACTGGAGAAACCATAGCCTTGACTAGATGGACCTTTGTTGGCAAAGTAATGTCTCTGCTTTTTAATATGCTGTCTAGGTTGTTCATAACTTTCCTTCCAAGGAGTAAGTGTTTTTTAATTTAATGGCTGCAATCACCATCTGCAGTGATTTTAGAGCCCAGAAAAATAAAGTCAGCCACTGTTCCCCCATCTATTTGCCATGAAGTGATGGGACTGGATGCCATGATATTCATAGCAATATATACGTGTGTGTATTTATTTATTGTTATGACACATTAGCTCATGCAGTTATGGAGGCTAAGTCTTATAATCTGCCATCTGTAAAATGAAGACCCAAGAAAATCAGTGGTATAATGCAGTTTAGGTCTGAAGACCTAAGAGCTGATGGTGTAAATTTTACTCAAGGGCAGGAGACATAGAGGTGAGATGTCCCATCTCATGCAGCTACTGCTGCTGCTAAGTCGCTTCAGTCATGTCAAACTCTGTGTGACCCCATAGACAACAGCCCACCAGGCTCCCCCATCCCTGGGATTCTCCAAGAAGAACACTGGAGTGGGTTGCCATTTCCTTCTCCAATTCATGAAAGTGAAAAGTGAAAGTGAAGTCACTCAGTCATGTTAGACTCTTAGCGATCCCATGGACAGCAACCTACCAGGCTTCTCTTCCATGGGATTTTCCAGGCAAGAATACTGGAGTGGGGTGCCCTTGCCTTCTCCCATCTCATGCAGAGAGTCAGGAAAAAGGTATAAATTCCTCCTCCCTTCACCTTTTGTCCTACTGGGCCCTCAACAGTTTGGATGAGGCCCACACACACTGAGGAGAGCAATTCACTTTACTGAGTACACAGATTCAAATGTTAATCTAATCTGGATACAATGCCGCAGACACAGCTAGAAATAATGCTTAACCTGTGCATTTCATGGTCAGTCAAGTTGACACATAAAATTAACCATTACAAGTCGACTGAGCATCCTTACAGATCTCCTTAAATCATACTTAATCTTCAAGTAATGATAATGACAGGATCATAGTCCTGCCAGAAAGGATACAATTATCCTGTATAGAACCCAAAACACACTAACTCCTTTCCCAGAAGAGGAAGTAAAGCCCTTGAGTGATATTTACTTTACTCCTTCATATCCAGTAACTTAAACACTATGATGTTAAAATTAACAATACATAAATACTACAGTCAAGTCATCTTATGTTACATGACAAGGTAACGAGAGGAAAGAAAGAAAAGAAAGACAATACGCACACATGGGTTCAAAGCAAAGTAAGGAGGAAATGTCAAGACTACTACAGGCCTCACACCTGTAACTGGTCACATAGTTGGAGCCGGTATTTACAGTAACTTTCTTCCACTGTCCTTCTATAGTCCTTTGTCTTCATCAATCAATGACTTAATTGCAGAGTAAAATATACAATATTACCAAGTCTCTATGGGATCGCCTGTATTCCAGACATACCCTTCCACACCTTCCGTGTGGAGCAGTAGTCCAATTTTCCCTGGTAATCATGATCAGCAACTCCAGCCAACACCATACCTCTCTTCTCTCCCTGTTGTTCTAGAGACATGAGGAACCCAAAGTAGTCAGATGGTAGTTTTACTTTATTTATTATGATTTTTGAAATTTTTGGTTGCCCTGGGTCTTCACTGCTGTCAGGCCTTTCTCTAGCTGCAGCGAGCTGGGCCTACCCTTCATTGTGGGACACGGGCTTCTCACCGCCGTGCTTCTCTTGTTGCAGAGCACAGGCCCTGGGCCCACAGGCTTCAGTAGCTGCGCCTCACTCTCTGGAGTGTGGACTCAGTAGTTGCCAGTACACGGGCTTAGTTGCTCCCCAGCATGTGGAATCCTCCCAGATCAGGGATCGAACCCATATCCTCCACACTGGCAGGAGGATTCTTAACCACTGTGCCACCAGGGAAGTCCTATTTTATTTATTTATTTAGGCCACACCCGGATGGTAGTTTTAATTTTCATTTCAATGGGATCACTGCTGTGTCACCTAGCGGAAATGTTCCTCCCTCCAGAACTAACACCTCTAGGCCAACAGTGCACAAAGCCAAGGGGACGAGAAGGTACCATTTGCTAGTAGCTCCCTAGGAGTCACAGTGGGACGTGCCCCTCCATCTCTACCTCTTGATTTCTGAATCCATGAATCCTGATTACGAGAGAAACAGTAAGATGTGTTGGACACTGATTTAGAGCACGGACAGCCTTCTAGAGAACCTTGCCCAGCCCTGCAGGGTATTATCCGGCTGGCACTCCAGCTGAGTCTTCAAAAGGCTGTTTCACTGTTCTATCAAGTCAGCTGTTTTAGAATGATGGTGAATTCCATGAGCATGGGCCCACTGCCACACTTCTTCTGCTGTGAACTGAGTTCATTGATCAGAGCATTATTGTAAGGCAAGGTGGATAAAGCTTTCTGTAAGTACATGTCTGGTAGTTTTGCACACAGGGAAACATTGCATACAGGGAAGGCAAATTCATATCCAAAGTGTCTATTCCCTGATGTCCCTTCCATGATGCAAGTGGCCCGATGTAATCAACCTGCCACCAGGTAGCTGGTTGATCACCCCAGGGAATGGTTCTGTACTGGGCATGGATGTTGGTCTCTGATTCTGGCAGTAAACAACTAATTCTATTTCTATATCCCAGAAACAATTAAAGATGGACTTTTTACAGTTGCATAAAAAATCAAATAAGATTAAGAAAAGATGTGCAAAATCTTTATGGAGAAAATGATAACATTTTTTCAAGAGAAATTAAAGAATACCTAAATAGAAAGAAAGAGATACTATATTCATAAGTTACAAACCTTAATATCATAAAGCTGTACTTTCCTCCAATATATTTATAGATTCAGTACCATCCTGGATAAAAATTCCTTTAGGTTACTGTTGCTCTGTTTGTTCCCATGTGTATGTATCTTGCAGAAGCTATTGAAGAAATGTATTTAGAAAAGCAAAGAGACAAGAATAGCAAAAAACATAAATGAAGAATATAAGAACAAGACAGGGACATCCCTGGTGGTCCAATGGTTAAGACTTTGCCTTCCAAACCAGGGGACTCCAGTTTGATACCTGTTCAGGGGACAAAGATCCCACATGCCATGCAATGTGGCCATAAAAACAGGAAGAAAGCAGGAAAACTTATTCTACAAATTATTAGGATTTATCATAAAGAAAATAAAATATTGTGATATTGGCAAAGGATAGACTTACAGACCAATAGTATACAAACATTGAATGAGAAGACAGAAAAAAAACTCAGCAATGTGAGCTGGGCAGGTTTAATGTGAAACTTATAACGAAAAAGGGAAAAAAGAAAGCTCTAGGACTGAGGGAGAGTAAGTAGTCAAGGAAAGAACAAGCTTGCCGGAGAGTGAATTCTCTCCAAGGTTAAGATTCAGACTTATGAGAGAGGATGTGGTGGCAGTCCGTTGGTTGGCTGAGTTTTCCCAAACCAGAGCTGGTCCACAGTCCCAGGGCAGAGGCCAGCTGGGGATGCTCGAGGGATGCTCTGGGAAGCTGCCTGCTGGGGGTGCTATTGAACTAACTGGGAAACCGTGACCAGGAAGCAGCAGCCTGCTGGGTTGTCCTGGGATCTCTTCTGGCAGCTGACTAGGTGGGGCTCCACTGAACATACCTGCTGTGTGAGCTCCACTGGTGGGCATCACACACCAGGGTGGTGGCACCAGAAAAAGGGAAAGGAATGCACATCAGAATCCGGAAAAGGAGCCGCTTTCTCCTCCCTCCTGTGTCCGTCCTGTGCCCACTACTGATAAAGATTAACATCAAGTCCCCTGTGCTGTGCTGAGTTGCTCAGTCGTGTCCAACTCTCTGCAACCCCATGGACCGTAGCCCACCAGGCTCCTCTGTCCATGGGGATTTTCCAGGCCAGAATACTGGAGTGGGTTGCCATGCCCTCCTCCAGGGGATCTTCCCAACCCAGGGATCGAACCCAGATCTCCCTAGTTGAAGGCAGTTTCTTTACTGTCTGAGCCACAGGGAAGTCCAAGAATACTGGAGTGGATAGCCTAGCCCTTCTCCAGGGGATCTTCCTGCCCCAGGAATCAAGCCAGGGTTTCCTGTTTTGCAGGTGTATTCTTTACCAGCTGAGCTACGGGGGAAGCCCTCATGTCGGCTAACAAGGGAGAATGTTCCCATATTACAAGCCAGCAATGAAGGATGGATTTGGAGCTGAGAGGCAATAAATTTGAAGCTCACACAAACTAATTAGAATAAAGAGCCCCGGGAGTGCACCGACTGTCGCGGGAGCAGCACCTTGGTCCCCTGCTCCCGCGACATGGCCTTCAACTTTGGCACTCCGTCTGGCACTTCAGGTACCGGTGCAGCCACCGCGGCTCCCGCGGGTGGGTTTGGAGGATTTGGGACAACGTCTACCACAGCGGGTTCTGCATTCAGCTTTTCTATTCCAGCTAACACAGGCACTACTGCATTAGGTGGTCTCTTCAGTCAGCCTACACAAGCTCCTGCCCAGTCCAACCAGCTGATAAATACTGCAAGTGCCCTTTCTGCTCCAACACTACTGGGAGATGAGAGAGATGCTATTTTGGCAAAACGGAATCAACTACAAGCCTTTTGGGGAACAGGAAAAGGATATTTCAACAATAACATTCCACCCGTGGAATTCACACTAGAAAATCCCTTTTGCCGGTTTAAGGCTGTAGGTTATAGTTGCATGCCCAATAATAAAGATGAAGATGGGCTAGCGGTTTTAGTTTTCAACAAAAAAGAAACAGATAATCGAAGCCAGCAGCAGCAATTGGTAGAATCATTGCATAAAGTTTTGGGAGGAAATCAGACCCTTACTGTAAATATAGAGGGTATTAAAACATTGCCAGATGATCAGACAGAAGTTGTCATTTATGTTGTTGAGTTGTTCTCCAAATGGTACTTCAAGAAGAGTTCCAGCTACAACACTATATGCCCACTTTGAACAAACCAATATTAAAACACAATTGCAGCAACTTGGTGCAACCCTTTCTATGACTAGAACAGAGCTTTCTCCTGCACAGATCAAACAGCTTTTACAGAATCCTCCTGCTGGTGTTGATCCTATTATCTGGGAACAAGCCAAGGTGGATAACCCTGATTCTGAAAAGTTAATTCCTGTACCAATGGTGGGTTTCAAAGAACTTCTTCGAAGACTGAAGGTTCAAGATCAGATGACTAAGCAGCATCAGACCAGATTAGATATAATATCTGAAGATATTGGTGAATTACAGAAGAATCAAACTACAACCATGGCCAAAATTGCACAATACAAGAGGAAACTTATGGACCTTTCCCACAGAACTTTACAGGTCCTAATCAAACAGGAAATTCAGAGGAAGAGTGGGTATGCCATCCAAGCTGATGAAGAGCAGTTTCAAGTTCAGCTAGATACAATTCAGGGTGAACTAAATGCCCCTACTCAGTTTAAGGGCCGACTAAATGAACTGATGTCCCACATCAGGATGCAGAATCACTTTGGAGCAGTCAAATCTGAAGAAAGATATTACATAGATGCGGATCTGTTACGAGAAATCAAGCAGCATTTGAAACAACAGCAGGAAGGCCTTAGCCACTTGATTAGCATCATAAAAGATGACTTAGAAGATATCAAGTTGGTAGAACACGGATTGAATGAAACCATCCATATCAGAGGTGGTGTCTTCAGTTGACAGCTCACAAACTTGTGTTAAAAGTTTGTGAAATACATCTTCCTGTTACATCAGGCCTTCTTTAAAAATGAAACTGACCACATGGAGGGGTAAAAAAACAATCCTCTCTCCTGACTTGGATTTTGAGAAGGTTACTGAAAATTATTCATCAAATCTGAAATAACAGTCACTTCACTGCTCTTCAGAGACAGTCTTTGAAAGATTTATATCTAAAAGCTGTAATTACTTTAAAAGAGAAATACATAATTACCAAAAATATTTACTATTGTACATTTTTACAACAGGATTGTTCTTAAAAATAATCAGTGTTTAATGATTATTCTCCATTGAGCCTGTACTCTGCTTTCCATAGCAAGTAAATATGAAATGTCTACTTTGCACATAACAAAATAAACTGTATAATTACTTGGCTGCTGGAGATTTGTACTTCAGAATGTAAATGTCAGTTTTTATATTTGTGAATTCATCTGTGGGAGGAGTAAAGAAAATCCAAGAGTATTTAATGATTAATGTGGTTTTCTTTTCATTCTATAAAGATTTGAAGATATATTTTCATATTATTTTACTTATTTGGAATTTACAGAACACACGTAAGCAATTAGGATATAACAGAAGAATTACATTTTATCATTTTTGCACCTTTTTTTGTTTTTTAAACCTCTTTATTTCTAAAAAATATGAAAACATAAATAAATTCTTGATTATAATTACTTTATATATAAAAAAAAAGAATAAAGAGCCCCCAAACAATCCCCTTCACATGCAGGAATTTGATTTATGTCACAAGTTGACTGGCAAACCAGTAGGCAAAAGAGAGTGTTTTTAATAAATGACACTGGGGTAAGTGGCCACCTCCTTATGCATATTTTCAGAAAAGAAGGAGAAAGAAGAGAAACTTGATCACAACCTTTCATAGCATGCAAACAGTTCCAATAGACAATACAACAGGCAAAACCGTAAAACTTTTAGAATGTGATACAGGATAAAGTTTTCATGACCTCATGAAAAGGTCAGAGAAAGATTCTTTAAAGAGGACACAAAAGTACTACTCATGAAGAGATTGGTAAGTTTGACTACAATAACATTTAAAATTCTGTTTAACAAAAGATACTGTTAGGAAAAGGACAAGGTGAATGACAGGTTCACCAATTGCTCCCTGCTTTTCTGACCCTGGGGCCTCTAGGAAGCTGGGGGCAAATGAGGGAGGTTGCTGCTATTTAGAGGCATGGTCCTGGGGAAGTGAAGGCTTCCAGATACCTTAAAAGTCTAGATTGGACAGTTGAGGACCCAAGCCCCATTTCATGGGAGCAGCACTTAATTTCAGAGAGAGAATGTCCAGGCTGTTCTGTCCTGTCCTTTTCTGTTCCACCCCATCCTAGCACTACCCTCACACTCCCAGATCATACCTTTTCTTAGGTTCTGGGCCCCATAGATTCGGAGAAGCTAAGATCCCTTTTCTTAGGATCTGCTAACAGATCAAATTTTCCCATGAAGCATAGGTCCATGCCCCTAGAGATCCATCTCCTGTTACCTAGTGATTTTTGAGAAATCACAAATTCATGTGCACATGAAATTCATGAAGGTTTTCAGTTATGCCTGCATGTGTGTTTCTACAAGCCTGTTGTGTCTTTGGCATACCTGCCTGTGACTCAGATTGTGGTCCATAGACCAGCAGTATACTTATTTGGGAGCTGGAGAAGTATAGCATCTCTGGCCCCATCCTAGATTTACTGCATCAGGATATGTGTTTTATGCTTCTTACACACATTCAAGTTTGATAAGCCTGGCATAGCTGTTTGCAGCTGCCCAGGAGAGCTTATACTTTATTTAGGAGAAAGGGTCAGTATTCAGAGGCTGGATGCATTGGATTACATCTGCATGTTTACGGGCACACTTGTGTGTCTGTCTACATGTGTGTTGTGTATCTTTTTCAAAAGAGAAGAGCGCTTCCTGAGGGCTGATTATATGCCAGACACCCTGTAAAGTCTTTTTTTTTTTAAACTGTAGAGTACCTGTATATAGGTTCACAGGGATTTAATTTATTATTTATTTTGGCCACACTGCAAGCCATGCAGAATCTTAGTTCCCTGATCAGGGATCGAACCAGCATCCCCTGAAGTGGAAACATGTAGTCTCAACCACTGGACCACCAGGGAAGTGCCCACACTGTAAAATTCTTAACACCATCATTTGTATCCTCTGCCTCATTTGAGTTTCTTGAAGGCCTTGGGGAAAGCAGAGAGTAGGGATGATTGGTGTTGAAAGCCTTAAAAAATATCCAAATGCTCTGACTTGGTACATTCAACCTCTAGGTATCTGACCTCAGAGAAATCGGAATTAAAGAAAACATGACTCATGCAGAAGGATTTACACCTACACATAATCTTTAATAGAAACCAAGAACTGGACACAACTGGTTTGTCCAGTGGAGTTACAGAAATGACCACAAAGCCTTGAAGAGGACAACAATATGGTCATTAACTGAGGTTAGATAAATAATAGTTTCCTGAGTGGACTTTCCAAGCCAAGTGCATGTTGTACCTGAGAGCTGATGGACGTGGCTCCACTCTGATGAAGGTCAAGATATTGATGAAGTTTGTATGACATCAGGAAATTGTGTTATAACATAGACCAGAAAAGAAGACATGAAACATACAGTGTAACCACAGTCAAGGGAATAAATGCGCTAGAAACAGAAAGAGCAAGTCACAACTTCCTTCTAGGTGAAGGGTGTGGAGGAGGCAAGAGACCTGCCTGAGACCTTGGACAAGAAGCCTGGGCATGTGGTCCTGTGAAAGCTTTGGCTTGTCTTCTTTATAAACTGTTTCTTAATCCCCATAGATTGCGAGAGTCACAATTCCAAAGAAACAAAAGGGCTGCTTTGTGAAATAAGGTCAATGCTTGGTGGGGAGGATGGCTTCGCAAATTACAGGCAGGTTTAGGAAAATGTTTCTCTTTGTGTAGATTTAGACTACACAATCTGACAAATGTTTATTCTTCAGCCTGTCATCTCATCCACCCAGTATTCACTGGACATGTGCACAAATACAGATTATCTGTAATTGACAGCAGGCAAACTGTGTTGGGTCAGTGCCCACTCTGGATAATTTTGGGAAACATGGAATGCCAAAGACCTCACCAGATCATCCCACTACACCCTTCCCTTATCTCCAGCGAGGGTTATTCCAGACTGAGGACCTCAGGCTCAGGGAAATACAGTCCAGCCCATGTATCATCTTGCAGCAGGGGGAAGAGGCCAAGCCCTGAAAGGAAATAAACTCCTGGGTTACACACACACTGAAGAAGCAGTGGTACTTCTCCAGTTTTTTGACAATGATCACTTTTTTCAAATGAAACTCTCATCAATGAATTTAAAAATATTTGTGTCTAGAAATTCCTTCTGCTTCCCTAATTCTTTTTTTTTTTTTAAAGACTTAACATTTTTAGAGTACTTTCAGGTTCATAGCAAAATTCAGAAGGTACCAGGTTTCCCTGGTGATCCAATGGTTAGGAGTCGGCCTTGTAATGCAGGGGACACAGGTTTGATCCCTGGTCTGGGAAGATCTCACTTGCTGTGCGGCAACTAAGTCTGTGCACCACAGCTACCGAAGCCTGAGTGCCTAGAGCCCCTGCTCCACAGCAAGAGAGGCCACAGCTGGAGAGGAGCACCCGCCTGCTGCGACTAGAGAAAGCCCGCGGGCAGCAACAAAGACCAGTGCAGTCAAAAACAAACAAGTAAATATTAAAAAGAGGGTACAGAGATTTCCCATACACCCCATGCCCCTATATACATGTATAGCCTCCGTTATTGTCAACATCCCTCATCAGAGTGGTACATTTGTTACGATCAGTGAACCTACATCGACACGTCACCATCACCCAAAGTGCATCATTTACAGTAAGGCTCTCTCTTGGTGTTACACATTCTATGGGTTTGCACAAATGTCTATCAGTCATTATAATATCATACAGAGTATTCTCCATGCCTTAAAAATCCTCTGTGGTCTGCCTATTTATCTCCCCTTTCCCAATCTCTGGCAACCACTGATCTTTTTACTGTCTCTATTTTGCCTTTTCCAAAATGTCACAATGATCATTTTGCCTAACCTTCCTTAGGTCAGGTTTACTGGAAAATTGTCTCAGGGGCAGATGCTTATGTGCAGGAGGTTTGCTGGGAGTATTCTGAGCAGCAGCATCTGTGAGAAGTAAGAGAAGCAGGGCCGGGGAGAAGTGGAATTGTGATGCACGGCAGCAAAGGCTCGGCCAATCCCCTGGAGAGCGCTGAGTGGATTGGAGGGGAGGGTCCTTCAGAGGTGCCCCGAATCAAACTGTGGAGCTAGACCTTTGTACCCCAACATCAACCAGTCAGTGGATACAGATTATCCCTGGGAATGGGGTGTAACTTTGGATGAAACAGCTCACTGTGGCCCAGGGAAATTCCCAAGGAGGGACTCAGCTGTGAGCATCAGCAACACCCCAGCAACAGAGAGAATGAGTGTCTTCATCCCAAGGGGATCTGACAGCCCACTACTGTATCCACTATATAATCTGAAAAAAAAAATAAACTAGAAATAAAGAAAAAGAATAGGAGGCTTGGAGATAAAGATACTGAGATCCACCAGTGACTTACTCTATGATCTTGGACATATCTTTTCTTTGGTTCTAGGTTTTCCCATCTCTACACCGAGGCAGGGTTAGTGGACTCACTGGGACACTCCTAAGGCACAAGCACCAGGTGAGCAGGTGCCCTGGAAGCTGACTACAGGAGCTGGAGAAGATGGGCCTGAGATGAGGCTGAGAGGTGAAGAAGGGAGCCTGTCATCACAGGGAGTTCATCAGACCTGATGAGGGGGCACATCCCACTGGGACTTTCCCTCCAAGGTACGTCTATGAATCATTAGTTGGTAAAATAGCAGAACAAAGTGGAGCCTTAAAGGTCAAGTGGCTCATCCCTTTTTTATACAAGGAGTCGAGGAACATGGTCAGCGTCACAGACTGAGTCAGCGGCAAGCTGGGACTCAACCTCTGTTCCCGAAACCTGGTACATTTATTGGTACATTTATTTATTCACTGGTTTCTCGTCCACATTGCCTTTTCTTTGAGAGACTGAGTCAAAGCTTGTTTTGGTTCAAAGAAATATATCCCTTGAGCTAACTTCCCTGAAAGGAGAGCTATGTGAAAAGAGTTGGGATGAAGGAAAATCTGCCCACCCTCCAAGCTTCTTGAAAAAGGAAGAAACCAAGGGACTAGTGATTTGAGCACAAAATTTTGTCAGTCCGTGAAGGGCGGATTCAAAACTGACCAAGAGGATTGGAAGGGCGGACATTCTTTTAAAACAGCAAGGCAGAAAAAATTAGCCTTGTGGTCCAAATATTTGATTTTAGATAAGCTTGTTGACAGTTCTAGCTAGAGTAAAAGGCCGCTGGGTGACCTCACTATTCGCAAAAGCTTTTTGAGTCCTCCCTTTTTTAGAGCCATGTCTCACTTTCTTCCCCATGCCAGGAATGGCTGAGCCCAGGGTTCCTACCTTTCAATTGCTGCAGAAACAAGAGCCTCCAACTTCTTTAGGAGATGCCTGAGTTACAGGCATAATTAGACCTAGACCTGGGAATCTAATTGTTCTTTGTACAGATATTTTTTTCTTTTAAGTTTTTTAAATTATTAAGTTATAAGAATTATTATCAGATACATAATTTGTAAACATTTTCTCCCATTCTGTGTGGAGTATCTTTCACTTTATTGATGCTGTCTTTTGAAGCACCAAAGTTCTAAATTTTAATGAAGTTAAATTTATCTCTTTTTTCCTTTCAGTGATTATGCTTTGGATATCTTATTTAAGAATTATTTGCCAAAATTTACCTCTATGTTTTATCCTAAGAGGTTTATAGTTTCATTTTAAATTTTATTTATTTTGAACTCAAGGATAATTACTTTATAATTTGTACAGGTATTGAACAGCACCCTCTCCACTATTGAAAAAAAATCTCCCTCTCGTTCCTACTTTTAATTTCAGAGCCTTTAAAGCATTCTACAGGGCTTCTCATAAATATCTCCTACTGCAAACCCTTAGCTTTCACCTTTCTCCAATTTGAAATTTTTATTTCCAGTTCCATATTGTAGCCACTGGATAGAAATGATTTCTAGTTTCACACAAGATGGTTTTTGAGAGTCTGTTTCTTACTCTCCATGTTAGGCGTTAGGTGTCTTTTGGAAGGAAAAAAAAGATAAGTTTTTTTTTTTTTTAGAAAGATTTGTTTTGTCCTAACATTGGATCCTAGAAGTACCTAGAGTGGTAGCAACATATATTCATTTTATTTTCAAGCAGTAAATCTTTTTAGTTAATTTTTGAATTGGAGAATGGTTGATCTACAATGTTGTGTTAGTTTGTGCCATACAGTAAAGTGAGCCAGTTATGCACACACATGTACCCACTCGTTTTAGCCTCTATTTCCACACAGGTGATTAGAGTATTGAACCGAGTTCTTTGTGCTGTGCAGTGGTTTCCTCTTAGCTATCTATTTTATGTCCAGTAGTGTGTACATGTCCACCTCAGCCTCCTAACTTATCCCTCCCCCGCTTTCTCCCTTCATAGCCATGTTTGGTTTCTACATCTGTGATCCAATTTCTGTTTTGCACATAGGTTCATTTGTACTATTTTTTTTAGATTCCACATGTAAGTGATGTCATATGATATTTGTCTTTCTCTGTCTGACTTACTTCACTCAGTATGACAGTCTCTAGGTCCATCCATGTTGCTACAAATGGCATTATTTCATTGAAGTATTAAATATTGAAGATAAATAACCAGTTTGTATAGTCAGCACTACCAGTCTCATTTTTAATTCCTCTTCGACGAAAGATGGCATCTTCCTGCATTTGGTGTATATTCTTTGGTATATACTCATAACCAGCTTGATATTTTATGTGCAACTTTTAAAAAACATATTTATTTGTTTATTTGGTTATGCCAGGTTTCAGCTGCAGTCTTGGGATCTTTAACTGAGACATGCAAACTCTTAGTTGTGGCATGTGGGATCTAGTTTCCTGACCAGGGATCAAACCCAGCCCCATGCATTGGGAGCATGGAGGCAACTACAGGGAAGTCCCTTTATGTGTAATTTTTAAATATATATGACTATTTCATTCTATACATTGTATCACCTATCTTATTTTCCTGATAAGTTTTCTGGGATATGTCTCCATATTGATTCATATAAATTTATTTTTATTTTTCTATAGCATAGCAAGCATATCAAAGCATGAAATTTAACTATTTCACAAATGCAGGCCAACTTGACTGGTATCAGTTTCTGACTCTTTGGAACAATCTTGTAATAAACATCTTAATACATGTATTAGGTTCCCGTTGGCAAATATTTTGTCTTTCCTGTGTTTCTGAAAGGAAAGTTGCTAAATGATATGTGTAACTTCTCAGTTGTATTAGGCATAACCAGATCACTCCTCCAAGTGGTTGTACCAATTTACATTTCCATCAGCAAACTATTAAGAGTCTCTGAGTGTTTGTATTGTAGCCTTTTTTTTAAAAGATTATTTATCTGTTTATTTATTTATTTTTTTTTGGCTGTACTGGGTCTTTGTTGCTGTGTGGACTTTCTCGAGTTGCAGCAAGTGAAGTCTACTCCCTGTGGCACGTGAGTTCTCATTGCAGCGGCTTCTCCTGTTGCAGGGCACAAGCTCTAAGCACACCGGCTTCAGTGGTTGCTCCACAGCACGTGGGATATTCTTGCACCAGAGATCAAACCCTGCATTGGCAGGTGGATTCTTAACCAGTGGATCGCCAGGGAAGACCTACATTGTAGAGTTTTCATTCTTGCCATTCTGATAAATAAAAAATGGTGTCTGGTTGTTTTAATTGGTTTTTTCTTGTAACTAGTGACATTGAAGCTCCTATATATCTATATACAATCTGCTATAATAATCTCTTATTTGATTGTCTATTCTATTCATAGTTCATTTTTTTCTAAGAGGTTGGCTGTTTTTCTTACTGATTTGTAGAAATTCTTCACGTATTTTTCTATTTCTTTGTCTGTGATAACCATTCCAAGTATTTACTTCTAAGCTCTCATTTATCTTTCAACTTTTTGTGTTTGTCAGTTTTGCTCCTGATGTCGTCACACGTGATCATTTTTTTAAACTCTTTGCACTTTGCTTACCCTGAGGTAAGTCTAATGTTTGTTGAGCATCTACTATATGACAGTCAGTGAGCTAGTCCTTTCACATATTATCACTCTAATCCTGATAATGAAATTGTCATTGCTGCTATCATTTCCATGTTACAGATGACAAGACTAAGGCTCCGTGGGACAAAGTCATTGCCCAAATCTACAGAACCTGTAATCTATGAATGTAAAGATTTAAACCTGTATCTGCTTGGAACTGAAACACTCTCTCCTTTCGATTGATATTTTATGGGTTTTTGGAGAAACCCCGCACATTCAGACATTTTATTCATCTCACCCCTCATACCTTAGACCACACTCAAAAGAGTCAAGGAAGATGGAAATGCAGAGAAAACCTGGTACATTTATTTATTCACTGATCAATAGGCATTTCCTGTCATGTGCCAAGCTTCACATTGGATGCTGAGGATACATAGATAAAACAGGCCAGATCTCGTCCCCAAAGGAGTATTGGTCACAAAACCACATCCTGACCAAGGTGCTTTCATTGTTTTCCAGACTTGCAGGGCGGGGAGGGGGGGAAATCCCCAGAGCACACAGACCAGGAAGTCCTAATGTTTTTGACCTGGAAAGGATGAATCTGTAGAAAGAAAATAAAATGGAGCCTCAGCACAAGAATTATTTAAGTGACCCCTATATCTTTCCCACCAAGATGGTCCTTTCACCACCACATCCTAGGTCCCTTGGGATAAGTAGAGAGCATGATGCTGGAATAGTTGAAATAGTGCTGGCCTTTGATGTAGGAATCAAGACAAAATCCAGGCTTTTCACAGACTCTTCTCTGCTGCCCTCTGGTAAAATCAGAGCATTGAGCCAGATTGACATCTATGCATCTTACTAGAGTTTCCTGTGGTTCCAGATAACTCAGCTAATCAGGGCCATAACCATAGCAACATTCTCTGAATACAAACAGTACTTCAAGTCTTAAAAAGCACTTTTACATTTAGTATCGCCATGGATATAATTGCATCCATTTTACAGATGGGAACACTGAGGTCAAGGATGATATAGTCAGTTGCTCATAGTCACACAGTCAGTCAGAGGCAGAGATGATATTAAAAGATAGAACTTTGGCCCCTTGTATCACGCTCCTTCTTCCTGCCTTATTCCAAGAAGCTTTCCTTCCCAGGACCCAGCACAGCCTGTCATAGGTACCTCCTGGGACTTGGCTAGAGAACTCTGAGGGGTGGAGTTCACTGAAGGGCAGAGGATCTGCTTGGGGATTGGGGACGTACTGGCAGATGTCAAGCAACCTTTTTCACATACAAAGGTACCATTAGGCTGAGAGCATACTAGGGTCCAGGGGGACATGGAGCTTGCTAGATCTTCTCCTCACCTTTCAACGGCAGGACGCATGAATTCCCACACAGACCCCTGCAGCACTTGAAACCATTCAGGCAGTGGCTGTCGTTCTGGCAGTCGTTTACAGGGTTGGGCCTCTCACAGCGGCCGGTAACCACTGGACACTTCCCGGGAGTGACTTTAACTGATGAAAACAGAGTCACAATTCAGAGGCTTCACCCCTTGGGACATCACCCAAATTCCTAACTCCACCTTCACAGCATACATGGAAATTGGCTCTTGCCCAACTTCAGGATCCAATCTGAGGCTGGTGCATTTCCTAAAGGAGACTCCCTCCCACCAGCAGGGCCACAACCAGTGTCTGACATACGTGTGTCTGATGGACAGACTGATTCATGAACTGACTGGCCTGCTGGCTGACTGACTCACCAACTGGCCTACTGTCGACCTGAGAAAAGAGAGCTGGTACAGGGGGCGGAGGAGCCCTGACTCTATCCCATCCTCCAGCCCAGTTCAGATGAGCCCCTTCCACTTGCCCAAGAAGCATGTCCTCAAGCTTGGACCTCCCTGACCCCCCTTTCCAGGACTGGACTTCCTCACCTGGCTTTGACGTGCCTACAGGATCCATGCATTTGATGCCACAAACATCCTGGCAGCATTTCTGCCTCTTCGGACACTGCCAGTCACTGTGGCATTCAGGGGGTTCATATACAAGGCACATCGCAGGGCGTATGAAAGGACAGGCTCCAGGTTTGCCTTTGTCTGAAGGGTAAGAACAAAGGAGGAAGAAGAAGCTGGCACTGAATCATGATCACAATTCTGCAGAAGGAACCAGGCGAGGAGAGCAAACCGAACCCAAGTAGCTGACCCCAAAGGAATGAAGGGAGCTATTAGGATTCCAGTTTCAAGGCAGGCGTGGGACAGCGCCAAGCTCAGCCAAACCCTCAACAGGAGGGAGTCAATGGGAAAGGAGGTATAGATGGTGGGGTGCCGCTAGATCTTTCAAGAGGGAGACTTTGTGGAGTTTGCCAATTTCCCTGGTGTCAATATTCCCACTATTCCTTATTTCAAGCCACCAATGTGACATCAACCACCTCACAGAAGTCTTGAAGATTTCACAATCAGCTATTGCATGTCTGTATAAGTCAGCTCTAGGAGTGCTGAACAGAGTTCATGGTCAGGTATCCCTGGCCCAGGGCTGGCTGGGACGGAGGCAGAGAGAGAGTGACAGCAAGAGACGCCACTCATTTGAGATTAAACAAAAGAGAACAGGTCAACCGAGAAGCAAATAGAAAAAGAGAGTGACCTTAAACAAACAAGCAGGCAAAAAAATAAACACTAAGAGAAACAGAGAACAATTTGGAAAATTAAAACAGATAGTGACCAAAATAATGTGACAGAGAAAAAAAACAACAACAGTAAAGAAGGAGCTATAAAGAAAGAAAAATAAGACATACAGGGGCTTATTTCTGGATGCACAGAAACTCTCTGAGTTGACGTCCTCAGTGACGTGCTTGAAATTAAGGGCCGTAAGCCATTGGAAAGAGGGCTTCAAGGCCAGCCCCTGGGCTAAAAAGAAGAGGTTATTCCCAAGCTGAGCCATTACTGACTCTGGCACCTGGGTATGGCCTGAGAGAGTCCAACTCACTTTTGGGAGCCCCTTCCACAGCCCAGGGCATCAGGAATCCAAAGGCAAATATCACCAGGAAGATGATGAGGCTGCCGGACTTCATCTTGAGGGCAGGTGGGGCGGTGGTGACCAGTGTCAGCTTCACCCTTTATACCCGCCCCGACGGGTGTGCTCCCACCAGAACTGCCCTGAGTTCTCTCGGCTGCTATTTCCTAAGCAGGAAATTCAGGTGAGGACAGTGACCACGCCATCCAGAGTGTTGCTGGCTCCTTTCTGCCCTTAGGCAAGAGCATGAGGACCAGAAAGGGGAATGAAGGGCTTGGAGGGGGTGGTGTCAGAAAGCCACTCGGGAACACGCGAGTTCCCGAATCACCCTCCTTTGGGGAGGAGTAGGCGAGGGGCAAAGAGGGCCAAGCAGGACGTTACAAAGGAACCTGTGAGAAATCCAGAACCGTCAGCGAGCTGGGGCCTCTCAAAGTGCCACGACTTTCCCACACTCTGGGGCTCTGGAGGATCGCCACATTTGTTACCACATTCCCCAGGGTCACTCCCTTCCCTAAAGGACAGGTGACATTTTCTCTCATTCTCTCCTGACTTATTCCCATGTAATATTGCAGTGCCAGTCACACAGAGAATCTTTGCTGAATGACAGGTGGGGGGGGGGCAGCAAGAAAACCTCTTCGGGGCTTCAGCTTTCCCAGTTGTGAAGTGGGGATAATAGTAATGGACTAGATCATGGAGGGGGAACTGAGTTGAAAAGGGTGGAAGGAAGTTGAAGGGTGAACACACTACCTCTTAGCAGGATGGAAGTGAGACTGATGCAAAGTCAATCATGTTGGAGCCCTGTTTCCTGAGATGAACCGATGGAGCTCATCTTAGCAGTCAGTTGAAGAGACAGTAGAAACAGGTGTGTCATTTCATATGCTCAAAAAATCCCCTCACACCCCAGAGCCATCCTCACTGCTCTTGCATGATCATCATGGACATTTATTGTACACTGGCTACATGATGAGAAGTTAAAACAATCCTAATTAGCAAAAGAAAGCCTCTTAAGGTGAAACCAAGGGGAAAAAATGCATGAAATACAGAAAATAGAATGTAGGAGAGGAAACGAAGAGAGTCCCCATGAAGATGGTGACAGAAGATCCCAGAGGGAGAGCCGAGTGCCAGAGGGCCCCAGAAAATTCATCTTCTGGAAGCTGAAATTAATAGAGAACATCTGGCACTGATGAACACATGGAGAGGAGATTGGGCAACTGGTGAAGAGGATGTGGTTGAAGAGATGCTCTCTCAACTCATATGTGCTCAGTTGTGTTCAACTCTTGTGGCCCCATGGACTGTAGCCCACCAGGCTCTTCATTTCAGTCCATGGAATTTTCCAGGCAAGATTACTGAAGGGGGTTGCCATTTCCTCCTCCAGAGGATCTTCCCGATCCCAGGATCGAACCCTCATCTCCTGTGTCTCCTGCTTGGTAGGCAGATTCTTTACCACTGAGCCACCTGGAAAGCCCAATGTACATAGGAAATGTAGCAAACACAAAATCAGACAATTTTTTCACCTCAGAAAAAATAAAAAAGCCCCGTCAGAAGGGAAGAGGTGTTTGGTTTACAACAGAGTTCAACTATAACATGTTAACATAATCATGATAATGTAAACAATAGTGAGGATCTAATCACAAGGAGCATATAGTGTTGATGGGAGGGAGGGGGGGTGGGAGGGAAAGCCTAGATGCCAGAGGTGTAGGGAGCAAGGAGGTGGACGGAAATCTCCTTTTCAGTCATGGGAAGTCAATGGACTAGATCTAAAACTGAAAAGTCGAGATGCAGCATTATTTTGTCAAGGTGTAATATGAATATTACTTAGAAATGGAGATACAAATGCCAAGATGATAAACTAGAAATGGTTTCCTCTTGGGGGAGGCTGATGGTAAGCAACCGATACTCTTCACAACATACTTTGTAAAAGCATGTGATTTCTTAGTCTATCTTCATGTATAAGTGAGTAATAGTCACTCAGTCCTGCCTGACTGTTTGCGACCTGTAGCCTCCAGGCTCCTCCGTCCACGGGATTTTCCAGGCAAGAATACTGGAGTGGGTTGCCATTCCCTTCTCCAGGGGATCTTCCCAACCCAGGGATCAAACCCGGGTCTCCCACATTTCAGGCAAATTCTTTACCATCTGAACCATTAGGGAAGGTCTTACCTACATGTATAACTTCAACAAAAATAAAGAAAATTATTTTTAAAAGAAAGCCTATTTTCTCACACAGATCCCCATGTACAATCACCCAGCATTATTCGTCTCAATATATGGCTCTCTCTCTTTTTTTAATACTGACTTAGCTGCGTTGGGTCTTAATTGTGGCACACAGTCCTCTCTCTAGGTATGGTGTGGGAGCTTAGTTGCCCTCGGGGTATGTGGGATCTTAGTTCTCCAACCAGGGACTGAACCCACGTCCCCTCCATTGGAAGGCAGAATCTTAACCACTCCATCACCAGAGAAGTCCCATGATAGGGTTCTTTATTTTTTTTTTTTTAGCAGATCAATATGTATTTTATTTTATTTTATTTTTTTTAACTGTTTACAATATGTTTATTTTTTTTTTCCATTGTTGAAAATAGTTCTTTTTTTTTTTTTTTTTTTACATGTATTCCCCATCCCGGTCCCCCCTCCCACCTCCCTCTCCACCCAATCCCTCTGGGTCTTCCCAGTGCACCAGGCCCGAGCACTTGTCTCATGCACCCAACCTGGGCTGGTGAACTGTTTCACCCTAGATAATATACGTGTTTCAATGCTGTTCTCTTGAAACATCCCACCCTCGCCTTCTCCCAGAGTCCACAAGTCTGTTCTATACATAGGAGTCTCTTTTTCTGTTTTGCACATAGGGTTATCATTACCATCTTTCTAAATTCCATATATATGTGTTAGTATACTGTAATGGTCTTTATCTTTCTGGCTTACTTCGCTCTGTATAATGGGCTCCAGTTTCATCCATCTCATTAGAACTGATTCAAATGAATTCTTTTTAATGGCTGAGTAATATTCCATGGTGTATATGTACCACAGCTTCCTCATCCATTCGTCTGCTGATGGGCATCTAGGTTGCTTCCATGTCCTGGCTATTATAAACAGTGCTGCGATGAACATTGGGGTGCACGTGTCTCTTTCAGATCTGGTTTCCTCGGTGTGTATGCCCAGAAGTGGGATTGCTGGGTCATATGGCAGTTCTATTTCCAGCTTTTTAAGAAATCTCCACACTGTTTTCCATAGTGGCTATACTAATTTGCATTCCCACCAACAGTGTAAGAGGGTTCCCTTTTCTCCACACCCTCTCCAGCATTTATTGCTTGTAGACTTTTGGATAGCAGCCATCCTGACTGGTGTGTAATGGTACCTCATTGTGGTTTTGATTTGCATTTCTCTGATAATGAGTGATGTTGAGCATCTTTTCATGTGTTTGTTAGCCATCTGTATGTCTTCCTTGGAGAAATGTCTGTTCAGTTCTTTGGCCCATTTTTTGATTGGGTCATTTATTTTTCTGGAGTTGAGCTGGAGGAGTTGCTTGTATATTTTTGAGATTAATCCTTTGTCTGTTGCTTCGTTTGCTATTATTTTCTCCCAATCTGAGGGCTGTCTTTTCACCTTGCTTATAGTTTCCTTTGTTGTGCAAAAGCTTTTAAGTTTCATTAGGTCCCATTTGTTTATTTTTGCTTTTATTTCTAAAATTCTGGGATGTGGGTCATAGAGGATCCTGCTGTGATTTATGTCGGAGAGTTCTTTAAAACGTAAGACTTTCTTTCTGAATTGGGAGTCCTTGGTGGCCTGTCTTTTCATTTTCTTAAGAGTGATTCTTCAAAGAGCAGAAGTTTTTAATTTTGATGACATTGCATTCATTAGTATTTTCTTCATCATGCTTTTGGTTTTGTACCTGAGAAATCATTGCATGACCTAAGGTCACAGAGGTTTTCTCCGTATGTTTTCTGCTATAGGTTCCATAGTTTTAATTTTTGCATTTATGTCTATGATCCGTTTTGAGTGAGTTCTTGCAAATGATATGAAGTATGGTTCAAGTTTCATATTTCTGTATGTGGATGCCCAACTGTTCTGGCATCATTTGTTGAAAAGACTATTCTTTCTCTGATGCACTTTTTCCCTTTGCACTTTTGTCAACCGTCAATTGACTACTTGCATGTGAATTCACTTCTGCACTGTCCATTGATCTGTGTATGTATCCTTTTGTCAATACCACGGTGCCTTTATTACTATAGTGTTGTGTCTGAAAACAGTCAGACCACAAACATTTTGTGTTCCCTCAAAATTCCTATGTTGAAGCCCCAACACCCAATGTGGTAATATTAGGAACTGGGGCTTTTGGGAGGTGATTAGGTCCTGAGGGTGGAGCCTTCAATAATGGGATTAGTGTCTTTATAAGAAGAGGAATGAGAGAAATGATCTTTCTCTCTCTGGCAGGATACAACAAGAAGGTGGTGTATCTACAAACCAGGAAGGGGGACCTCACCAGACATGAAATATTCCAGAGCCTTGAATTTGAACTTTACAAACTTCAGAACAGTGAGAGATAAATTTCTGTAGTTTAATTCATGCAGTTCATGGTATTTTGTTATAGCAGTCTAAGTAGATTAAGACATGTAGCTCTGTGGGACTTCCCTGGTGGTCCAGTTGTTAAGACCCCAAGCTTCCAGTGCAGGTGGCGTGAGTTTGACACCTGGTTGGAGAACTAAGATCCCACATGCTGTGGGAGTGGCCAAATATATAAATTAAATTAAATTTAAAAGACATGTAGTTTTATAATAAGTGTTCATTTCAGCCAAAATTTTCAGCGACCCCTTCTGTTGCCCTGTCCATAGTCCCAGGGCACACTCCACTCCATTGCATGCCAGTGGCGTCTACTATAAGCCTGTGAGTCTCTGCCTGAGGGGTTTCAGGGAGCAGCCCTTAGCCAATGACAGATAGGAGTTGGAGGATAAATACCTCCTCTTTCTCATCCAGAGCGGGAAATTCCAAGGCAGGCTCTATAAAATCTCCCAGACTTTTCCAGCAGGACACGCCCCTGGTGCCCACAGCAGTAAACTCCTCAGCCCT